CCTCTTCCTGACTCCTACCTCTCCCCTCTCCTACTTCCCTCTCTCCCACCTCCCTTTCCCAACCCTCCCCCCCCCACCCATCTACATCTTCCAAACTCCCTCCTCCCTCTGCTTTCCCTTACTCCACCCTCTTCCCACCTCCCTCCCTCTCAGAGCTTACTCAAAGCAACCTGCGTCTACGTGGGTACGGTTAAGTTGACCAGAGTGTGTTGTGTAGCGGTTAAGCGTCTCGTTGTTGCACACTGAAGACCTCCGTTCGATTCGCATTTGTGGAGACTGTTTATCTGGTATACACCCGTCTTTCTTCTGATATATTGTAGCCTACCCCTCTCATCTCAGGATAGGCCTGACAGACAGTGTTGAAACCCGCCTCCTAGTCCTAGATGATCCAAATTGTGTCGATGAGGAAGTAAAAAAACCACAGCTACGTATTAACCTTTAGGATTGAACTCTTTGCTACTTCCTGAACAAAGCGTGGGTTTGTTCACAACCTGGACACGTCTGTTTTCTGGAGTGTTTTCTGCTGGGAGGTACTGACACTGTGTCCGACTCAGCCTTGGTTTGCCCTGACAAGCAGAGACAAAACAATGCGTCCCCTAAATAGTTCAGAATGTGTCGACATGGCGTAGAGGATCTCTTGATAGGAGGAATGCCAACGTTCTCATCAACCAGCGTCTTTGATGTTAAGTAATTTACAATTAATAATAATAGATAGCATTTGTATAGCGCATATCCCCACTCAACAGCAGGCTCTATGCGCAAATCAACCACTTGTGATAGGAGAATTACCAAAGCTGTCGACAACTAGCATTTATTGTGTAATGGTTAGACCCTTTGTCATAATCACTCAGAAGACAGGAGTCCGCTTACAACATATTATGGGATTCAAAAGAAATTTAATCTACTTTATGTAGTATCTCCATCTGGGAGCTTACTTGTTATTTTGCGTAATTTTCGTCAATCTTAGAACTCATAACTCGGGTCCATGATACTTTTGTCCGGAATGACATAATGCCCTTCAATATGGACGTCATTCTGACAACCTCCTGCATCTAGATATTAATCTGATCGTCTGGTCTTTATCTTGCTATCAGATACATTGTACCTAAGCGAGAGAAGGAGTATGATGTTTACACTTCTCTTTCTGACTTTAAACAAACCTTTGTGCAAAACAGACATGTGCTTGTATCTACCCTTTCCCTTTTCTTCGTCGTCAATCCACATCAAATTCCTTCTATAGACTTCAACATAAGTTAAGCACCACTTTGACAGGCTGCCCTGGTTTTTTCAAAGTCCGAAAAAAGACAGCAAGAAATGTTTCAAAATTGTTTGCTCTGAAAGTGTTAATGGGTTACCAATGCGTACTACAAAGCTTCCTAAAGGAGCAAAATCACCACGGGGAGCACGGAAATCCTCGGAGAATTTTAACCAAATTTGCTGTTTTTTAAATCGATTTGTGTGCGACACCACGGACACTCCTCAGTTACATTTTCTGGTGCACGTCATAAACGGACGTACGGTCTCGAACTGTGCTCACTTTGGTGGCAATATAAACCCTTGTTTGCGCCAAATCCAGGAGCGCATCAACAGGCCACCAAGACGAAAGCTGAGAGACTTTGATCGTGCCAAAGCTATGGCATGACTGCAGGATGGAGTGCGAGCCCGAAAGGTTGCCAGAAGGCTTTCAGTGTCACACTCTGTCATTGTCCGATTAAGGCAGCGCCATCAAGCCACTGGATCAGTCCAAGAGCGCCCACGTGCAGGTCGACCCAAGAAAACCACTCAGAGTGTTGGCAAGTGGTCCTTAACTTTTGTTGAAGTCTGTATGGCAGGTAAGTGCGGCCACAGGGGAAGCCACAAGTCAACACCTTTCATTTTTCTTATCCTTCTATTTCGCTGGAGAATTATTCTCCTCTGTGAATGAACTGGTCAAGGTCAGACGTTGACGGACGAGCTTCATCATCATCCTCATCATCGTCATCCTGTGCCAGATCTGCGACCGACATCGGCGATCATGGTTCTTCTTTCATTTCTTGCTCGGACGCTTTTAAAAAACTACGTTTTCCTGATCTTTCCCTGTTAACCATTTAGTTTTGTTTTGAGTCCCTAAATAGATAATCACATAATGCAAATAGCGGGAGGTTGGTGGGCGCCACTGATTGGTCTACTTCTTTATTTTTACTGAGTTTTTCTGTCTGTTTTTCTGTCTTACTTTTCCCAGCACTAAATGACCCTTATTGTGCCCATGTGCTTCTCCCAAAAAGGTTATAAATAGAACGATAACCTCTTTGGCTTCTCCTCAAACAAGCAAAAATAACCCACATTGTCTGAAATATCCGAGAAAAAGAACGTGTTAAAAAGCGTGCTTCGTTTTCGCACCCTCCAGCATCGTTAATGAACTCATAGGCGGAAGGAGATACAATTTATATGTCTAATTCACAATACCATGCGCTGAGAAAAACCAAAATGGCGATGGTATCGTCAGCCTGTGACTGGCTGAAGGATTGTGCTGTCAATCTTCCAGGAAATTGTCACATTCGTTTGTACGACTTGAGCCCTGGGAACCTTAATTGCTCTATGGACTGTTTTGTTTTTGGTGTGTTCTCATTTTGTTTTGTTCGTTTCGCCTAAGGACGTGGACGAGTGGTAAGAGATATAAAATCATTACCTTTGAATTACGAGGTTCTGTATGACATTTTGGGCTGGATCTATTTTGAGTAACTGAGACCGTGAGATCAGAAATCAGTTTACCTGCTAAGATTATTCTGAGTAGTTATCAAGATATTCAAAGATTTGCATTCGAAAAAAAGCTTGAAAGTATAACTCGACATTTTTATGTCAAATTTCTCAAAATTAGAATGTAGTCTAGATCTAGATCTAGATCTAGATCTAGATCTAGAATCTTGATTTGGTACTAGATCTAGATCTAAATAGTTAAAACTTTGGGATTCTAGGGTAACAAACTTTCACTGATAGTGTGTATGCAAAACCCAGCCCTTCATTGTTTTTACAAATTTTTCTAAACCGTTTCTTAATGTTACTTTTTAATTTGTCTTAAAAGCGGATAGTTTGGTGAAAAGTCACCAAAAACATTCTAAGCTCTATGCACCTATGTGTTTTACCCCCATTGCCTGCTTGTTTTTTCTGTACTTTTCAACTTGACCTCATAATAATGTATCGTAATCTTCAAACTATTTCATTAAACATTCACGGTCCCAATCCTTCATGAGCACAAAGATGGGCACGAAGTATATAGAGGCTAGGGAATGAAAAATCCTCAAGAGGAAGAGGAAAAAGAGGAGGAGGTAGAGGAGGAGGAGGAGGAGGAGATGGAAGAAGAAGAGGAGGAAGACTTGAAGAAGACTTGAAGAAGAAGACTTGAAGAAGACTTGAAGACTTGAAGAAGA